TGTACCCTAATCGTGCTTCTATTGTTTGTAATAGAATATAGGACTTCTTGTGCGTTGGATCTGGTTTAGGCCTTGTAGAGTATTTTGGTCATCTGTCACGTAAGGAAAGCTAACTACCACATTTTAAAGTTTTTGATGTGTTGATAATCTGTGAGACATGTTTGATTTGGTTTGAAATTGATGTTTTGGTATGTGGATTTTGTTGTGATTAATGTTGAATATGTACTTGTGTTTTGGTTGAAATTACCTTGTTGTAGTTTTATAGATTGTTTGAGAATATTAAATTTCATGTTTCATTAGTCTAAAATTGTGGTTGAGCTAATGAGAAATGTGATGTGTTGAAGTGGTTGTGCTTTGCTTGAATTTGTTTGTTTGTTGTTGAGTTGAGAAACTGAGGAATATGTCCATTTGAGAAAATTGGCATTGATTCTAACATTGAAACATGTTTTTGATCTACGCATTTTAGGAATACAAATTTGGTCATTTAAACAGGTCCTTCGTTCCCAACTCACAAAGTTGAAGTTTCTGTTTTCTGGTATGGCGTTGAGTGACACTGATGTAGCACTAAGCGCAAGCTAGGCAATAAGGGCCACAGAGCATTTTAGCACCAAATCATGAGTGTCAGGTTTATGTCACTTATCGACCAGAAATGTAAATGCTTTGGCATTGAGTCGTGGCTTTGTAACATTGAGCGCCCCTTTTTTTGGCAGATTTGGACCCTTTTTCTTCATAATTTGTTGGGCGAGGCAGTTAGTCTTACTGGGCAAGAAAAATTGTGAGAGCTCTATCGTTGAGCGCCATATATTGGCATTGAGTGCACCCTTTTATGAGGGCTTTTGCGTTGAGCGTCAATGCAATTCTATGTGATTTCTATGGTTTTGTTGATTTGGTTGGTTTGTTTTGAAATATATATATATATATATATATATATATATATATATATATATATTATGAAATTGATGAATCTTCATGGATGGTAATATGATTATAAGTATGTATGGTATTTATTCAAGTATGATATGGTAATGATGATGAGTTTGTTGTTGGCATGGTATATGTGTTTGGCATAATTCCATGGATCTTGTGGAGAGATTTTATGGTGACATTCAGTAGTGTAATGTATTGATGTAGCGATTCTGTATTGGGGGTTATCTTGACACTCTAATAACCATTCAATCTCAAGTAGAGAATGTGGGGTATGTCGTGAGAAGTAGCAAGAGGTCCTAATTTATGGGCTTTTCCTTAACCATAGGTAGTTGACAGACTAACCTTGTGTGGTAGCTTGAGTAAGCAAGTGGTTTCTGTAAGACCTGTGTAAAATAAAAATATATTTCTATATTTTGTGTTACTAAATAATTAATTATGATATGTATTTGTGTAATGAAAATATTAAGAAAGCGAATAAAAAAAATTAATTAGAACTAATTTTATTTTAATTTTCGAAAATTGTTTGAAAGAATAGTTAAGTAATGTTTCCTAGTTCTTTTATTTTCATTGGTGGGGAGGTGTGGGTCTCATTGTGAAAAATAAAATAATGATGAGAAGACATTGTTGGGTGGAGCACGTGAAAGTGTAAGAGGCTTGAAGGGAATTTTCTAAAGTTTTTATGCTTTTGGCTTTTCATGTTTATGATAGGAGAGAAAACATAGATTTATACTTGTCCTTCCTCTTTTTGCATGATTTGAGTTTCTGAAGGTGACCATGTCGGCAGTAGGTGTTGAAATATTTTCCATAGCTTGGCTTCTTTTGTTTTGTAGGGTTTTGGATATATTATAGAGTTAAGTAAAGAAACATATAGTTAAGTTTCATGGTGCATATAAAACATGAGCGAGGACTTAATGAGAACCCTACCAGCTTATATAAACCATATTATGTGTGAGAGAGTGGGAAAAAATCTACTAAATAGTAGGCTTGGAGGATAGTTTTAGACGGGTGGGGAACATTGTTACTACGCAAGGGAAGGAAGGCATCTTGTTGGTCTTTGCTTTGAAACTCAAAGGATTTTGGAAACTCACTGGAACTAGAGGTAAGAGGTTTAACTTGGGATATAACATATTGTATGATGGGTAGAAGGTAAGGGGAGCTAGATTTATTTCTTTGATTGTTGAAATAATCTGTATTTTGATGCAAATCTAGGAAGAACGGGATGAAATTGGGGTTTCTGGAAATCTGGTGCGATTCTGCAGAATTCTACAGAACGCGCGTTCGTCCAAATGGCTCGACCAATTAGTGGTCGGCCAAAATACTATGAGCGTTCGGTTTTATTTTCTGATGTACCCAGCGTTAGCGTTCGTCCATTGGTGAAAGTTAGTAACATATTAGACGTTCGTCCCAACACTGCTCGACAATAGTGGTCGGCCAAATAACCGTTCGGTCTTGTATCCTCTAGTAACGAGCGTTAGAGTTCGTTCTGGGCTTGTTTTGGTGAGCGTTCGGCAATCGGTCTTCGTGTATGGGTGACTGTAGTGTTCGGCTGAATTTAGTATTATCAGGCTTGAATCCTGAGCGTTCGGTTTTGATGTTTTAGTGATTTAAGCGTTCGATCTAAATTTGATATTCTTAGGTTTGAATCTGGAACGTTCGGTTTTGGGTGTATTAGTAAGCGTTCAGTCTATAATTTGATATTCTTAGGTTTAAGATCTTGAACGTTCGTTTTGATGAATTAGTTATTGTAGCGTTCGGTCTTAAATCTGATGTATGTTTAAATCATGAACGTTCGAATTTGGTGAATTGTGGATTTTAGCGTTCGGTCTTGGGTATTAGTGATTGTGAGCGTTCGACCTTAAGTCATGGAAATTGTTATAGTTTATATGTAATGGGTTTATGATGTGATACTTCTGGTTACTCACCCTTGCATGTTATGGTTGTGGTTTCCACCTGCGATGATCGTATTTGTACGGGAGTAGATGGTATTGCAGATAAAGCTGGATTGGAATAGCTCTTCGAGAGAGACGGGAAATAAAACTTGTTGAGATTTTTATAATGTTTTCTTATTTATGTTCGTTTGATTTTGTTATTTTAAGGAAACAATTAAGATTTGGTTTGTTGTAATGTATGAACTTATGATGTGTGTATGGTTTGTTTATGTGATGTATTGTTTTAAAAAAAAAAAACACTTTCATAAGATTCATGCTTCAAGATTATTATTATTATTATTATTAATATATCCTATAAAGGGTGTTACAGTTTCACCATTACAAGTGCAGAACTTGCTAGAGTCCGATATCAATACATGTATCTTGATGATCAAGTCTAGCATATATAATTTCATGTGTTAGGATTTGTTAATATGAATGTTTATATGTGTTAATATCTATATAAATATTGTGTGATTTTTTCTTTTTGGTACATTAGCTTACTCTTTTTATTTTTATTTGTTTGTCTATTTTGTTATTCTTATTTGCAATGATCATTTGAATGATGTGAACAAATCAAGATGTTTTGATTGATCTAATTTAGGATATGGGAAAAACAACAATTTAGTTAGGATTTCTTCTCTCAAATAAATCTTTTATCTTCTGAAAATTCTAGCCTTCGTAAGTGTGTACATATAACTTCCTATACTTAATGCGTTATTTGTGAATGACTGTAATATAGGAGTTCTTTGTTTGTCTCACCTGTTGATTATGATTTATGTAACTTTTATCCCGTGTTCTTACAAAATTTTTCTTACAACTTTAATTAAAATAATAAATTTAATAAAAGACAAACTTCTCTTACAAAAAGTATAAACTCCATACAAAAATTGCTAATAAATTTCATAAATAACTTTCTTCCCTTTTGAAGTATTTGAACTAAACATTTTTCTTTTCGATAAAGACTTACAACTTTCTTCGACAAATTTCCCTCACTACTTTAATAAAATAATAAATTGCATAAAGGACGGATTTTCCTTACAAAAATTATAAACGCCATAAAAGATTTTCCTTACAAAAATAATAAATTTTATAAAAGATTCCTCACAAAAATTAACACACACATACGTATATATATATATATATATATATATACTCTTTTATTTTTTAATTAAAAATAACTTATTAAAAAATAAATAGACAATAACTTATATATTTATATAACTTAATTTAATATCAAAATTACGGGTCCTTATGTTCACCAGTATATAAGTCACGGATATATGTATACTTTTTTTCGGGCGGATTTGAATATATTGGTTTCTTTTATATTTTATTGTTTAGGAAATTGAAAGTGGTTATTTAACACATTAAAATTAATTAAAGTTACGATGATTTTATTTTTTAAAAAAAGTTTGGTTCTAATTCTTTTAAAGTAATTATTGTCTTTATTTTTATTTTTATTAGAACTGAGCCAATAATCACTAAGTCATAGCACTATTCAGTTTGTGTGTAAGAAAAGTTTAAATATCCTTTTATTCACTTATAAATTACCATATTTGTGTTTAGTATTGTAGAAATACTTTTTCTCGTTCTTGATAAAATATTTGTTTATTTAATTTTTTTTATTGTCTTTCATGATAGAAAGAAATTAATATCTTTTACATTATATTGATTTATTTATTTTTCTTAAGAAAATAAATTTTAAAAAATGTAGTTACTTTTAGTCATATATTTTCGTGCTTTACAGAGAAAATTAAAAGAAATAAAAAATAGCAACTCTAATTAAAAGAGACAACATTATTTGCATTCTCACTCAACTTGTTTCTTCTCTGCCTAAGTTCTTTGAAGTATACTCTAGCTTTTAATACCATTCAAAAAAGAGATATTTAAATGTATATAAATTTATGTTATTTTTTTTGTTTTATTTAAGTGGGACGTATCGATTTATATGTTAGTGAGAAAGAGGCTCTACAAGCATGACAGAACTCTGTAGAATCTCAATCATTCATTTAAAGCTGTCAAACAAAAGTCATTTATTTATGTCCTTTTGTGTCATTAGATTCCTCTCATCTTCTCAATTATTCAATCTGTTCACAACAAATATTTCAGAAGATACTAATTCTTCTTCACTCCTATCCACCTCTCTTCAACCTTTCCTTCAATCCCAATGGCAGAAGCTTTGCTAGGAATTGTGCTTGACAATTTGGGATCTTTTCTTCAAGACCAACTTGCAACTTATTGGGGTGTTGATCAACATGCTCATAAACTTTCCAGCAACCTCACCACAATCCGTGCTGTCCTCAGAGATGCTGAGAGAAAGCAAATAACAAGTCATGCTGTGAAGGATTGGCTGCAGAAACTCACAGATGCAGCATACGTGCTTGATGATATCTTGGATGAGTGTTCAGTTCAATCCAAAAAACTGCACTCTGTTGATGGTCATACTTCACGCCTATCCCATCTCCATCCTAAGGACATTCTCTTTCGCTTTCGTATTGGGAAGAGGATGAAAGACATCACTCAAAGGTTTCATGACATTCATGAAGAAAGGCTCACATTTGAATTGCGTGTGGGCGTCACGGAGAAGCAAGCAGTGAATGATGATGATAATGATTGGCGTCAAACTAGCTCAGTGATTACCTAACCAATATTCTGTGGCAGAGACAAGGATCGAGAGAAAATTGTAAAGTTTCTGTTGGAAGATGCTAGTAACAGTGAAGAACTCAGCATCTATCCCATAGTTGGTATGGGTGGACTTGGCAAAACAACTCTTGCCAAGCGGGTCTTCAATGATCACGAGATAAGTAAACATTTTGACTTGAGAATTTGGATCTGCGTTTCGGGTGATTTCAATGTGAAGAGAATACTGCAATCCATTATAGAATGTAGCATTGGTCAAAATCCCAACCTGGGTGATTTAGAAGCAAGGCGAAAAAGGGTTGAAGAAGCATTGCAAAGAAAGAGGTATTTACTTGTTCTTGATGATGTGTGGAATGAAGACCGAGAGAAGTGGAAGGAGTTGAAGGGGATGTTGGAGTGGGCGAAGGGAGCAAAAGGAGCTACGATTTTGGTCACCACTCGACTTCAGGAAGTTGCCTCCATCATGGGGACGCATCCTGCTTACAGTTTGACAGCATTGTCAGAAGACGACAGTTGGTCATTGTTCAAACACCATGCATTTGAACTAAACAGAGAAAAAAGGGAAGAGCTTGTGGCAATTGGCAAAGAAATAGTAAGGAAATGCGTTGGTTCGCCACTTGCAATCAAAACACTGGGAAGCTGTTTGCGTGATGTAAGTGAAATAAAGCAGTGGCAGAATATAAAGGAAAGTGAGATTTGGAATATACAGGAGGTAAGTAGTTCTCTGATAAGTGACGAAAATTCTATCATGCGTGCCTTGAAATTAAGCTATTTTAATTTGGAGTGGTCATTGCGGAGATGCTTTTCTTTCTGTGCAATTTTCCCTAAAGATTTTGAAATTGATAAAGAAGAACTCATTCATCTTTGGATGGCTAATGGATTTATTAAACAGGAAGGGAATGTAGAGGTGGAGGATGTTGGTAATAAAGTGTGGAAAAGATTATACGATAGATCATTCTTTCAAGAAGCAAAGGCCAATAGGATTGGTATGATTAAAACTTTCAAGATGCACGATCTCTTCCATGATCTTGCTCAGTCTATTATGGGCGAAGAATGTGTGATTTACGGGGAAAGAAAGTTGACTCGATTGCCAAATAGAGTTCACTATTTACGATTGTTAAATTCTAATTATTTTGTCGATATGGCTGCCTTCAAGAAAGTTGAATCATTTCGAACTGTAATTGATTTTGGTCAAGGATTGCATTGTGTAAATATTGGTTTGTTGCCATCAAATCATTGTCTCCGAGCATTACACATAAGATCTTCTCTTTTCTCCCCACTGAATAATTTATCACATTTGAGATATTTGAGTTTGGACATGTGTTCAGTATTGCATAATTCTATTTGTGGGTTGCAGAAATTGCAAATACTGAAACTCGAATATTGTGGAGGGTTGCATAATTTTTTTCCAGAAAACATGACACAATTACAGGATCTTAGGCATCTTGTGATTAATAAATGTCCTTCAATAGCAGAGATGCCTCGGAATATTGGAAAGTTAAGGCATCTAAGAACATTGAACACCTTCGTCGTGGGTTCAAAACTGGAGTATGGGTTGGCAGAGTTACATGGCTTAAGTCTGGTTGGCAAACTGCATATGAGAGGCCTTGAGAATGTGAGCAATGAATGGGAGGCTAAAGAAGCAAATTTGATGAGCAAGAAGGAGTTGAATCGCCTATACTTATCATGGGGTGGTAGTGCTAACTCACAAGGTAGTAATGTTAGTGTGGAGAGAGTCCTGGAAGACCTGGAACCTCCCTCAACTCTGAAGAGTTTTGGGATGCAAGGATATCAGGGAAGAAAGTTATCGAGTTGGATGAGAAGTGTTGTAGTTCTTAAAGACTTGGTGGAAGTTATACTCGTGGACTGTAAGAACTGTGAGGAGCTTCCTCCACTTGGAAAACTACCACACTTGAAAAAGATAGACGTGCGTGGAATGAAAAATGTGAAGTGGATAGATGGTGAGTCGTATGAAGAAGGTGTGGAGGAGAAGGCATTTCCATCGTTGGAGAAATTGAGTGTGAAGAATTTACCAAATTTGGAGAGGTTGTTGAGGGATGAAGGAGTAGAAATGGTCCCTCGTCTTTCCCAATTAAGAATTGATGGTGTGTTGAACTTTAAAGTCCCACGTCTTCCTTGTGTTGAGACAGTTCATGCTAGAGGAATTGAGGCAGTGACTTCTTTCATGGAAGGGGTTGCGGAGAATATGACATGTCTGAAGAGCTTGCAAATTGCATTCATGAAAGATTTGAAGGTACTGCCCGACAAACTGAGCAGTCTGAGTGCACTACAGAAACTAGAGATATTGGGATGTGAGGAGTTGAGGTCACTGCCAAGTAGCTTTCAACGCCTCACCAACTTGTCTAAATTAAGTATTTTCAATTGTCCTTGGCTGATGGAGAGATACAGAAGGGAAACAGGAAATGATTCGCAACTCATAGCTCACATTCCAAATATAGAATTGGAATACATCTTCGCATTCGAAGAGACAGAGGCTTTACCATTTAGTGTAGAAAGTTGGCTGCGATCATCTTGCTCATGGAACTGCTTCAAGGCTACAAGACCGCCTGCCAAAATAGAAAAATTTTATTTTGACTACATGGATGAGTATGAATGAGTCATGTCCAAGTGGTGAATACCTGGACCTGTGCTGTCATGCCAAAAGCACTCCATCTATGGATTCTAGTTCTGTAAGCAAGTTTGAAAATATGTAAGGTAGTGTGTTTACTTTATATCAACTCATTCCAGTGCAGCAGATCGTGAATAGATCATAAACTGTTACTTGTGCTGAAATGTTTTTGGTTTTGGGCGAGCGCGAATTTGATGTATGATTTGAGGAGTACCAAAGATTTTACAGGCAAGGATTTCAAATTGGATTACAACTACGGAAACCATGTGCAATATGGCAAATATTGTTGCTACTTCCACACACTGATTTGGTGCAGTTAGACAAAAACTGCATTTTTTTGGCCATTTGAACAACCTTGGTGGTGTGACAAATTAAGGGTATGTTTGGTTCAACATTTATTTAATAAAGTTCATTATACTATATTATTTGTTACAGATAAGCGTTATTTATTTAGGTTAAAAGATTTTTTTTTTTCAAAACAGAGTTAAGAGAATTGAAGTATAGCATTCTAATTATTGCAATATTTCTTAATGAAAGAAAACATTGAAGCATTACTAAGAAAATAATTGCAAAGCTAACTATTGTTTTCCTCGTTAATATTCTAAAGCTTCTAATCTTTCCGGTTAAAATATGTCCACTAATTAAGTCAATTATATGGTTGGTACGCAATTATAAGGTTGGTTTGACTTGACTCCTTGTATGAACACTCCTTGTCAACAAAAGCAAAGGGGGACCACTCCTTGTAAGAAAACAATACGCTATATTTATTGCCATGGCAACCAATTGCCAATTCAAATAAATGACGCGTAGTTAATGAAGATTGATAATTTTGCTTCTCCATACTTCCTTCTCCACAGTCATAATCATCCCAAAAACCCTCCTTTCTGTAAATGGCTGAGCCTTTGCTCGGAATTGTAATTCAAAACTTGCAATCTTTTGGCCAAGACCAACTTGCTACGTTTTGGGGTGTTCACCAACACACTCAAAAGCTTTCCAGCAATCTCACTGCAATCCGTGCTGTCCTCAGAGATGCTGAGAGAAAACAAATCACAAGTCATGCTGTCAAAGATTGGCTGCAGAAACTCACAGATGCAGCATATGTGCTTGATGATATCTTAGATGAATGTTCTATTCACTCCACAAAAGTGAATTTTGGTGATGGAGATACTTCATGCCTATCCCGTCTCCACCCTAAGGACATTTTCTTTCGTTTCAATATTGGCAAGAGGATGAAAGACATCACCCAAAGATTTCATGACATTCACGAAGAAAGGAGCATGTTTAATTTAGTACCCGGTGTCACAGAGGTCCAAACAATCCATGATAATTGGCGCCAAACTAGCTCTGACATTACAGAGCCTATAGTCTACGGCAGAGACCAGGATCGAGAGCAAATTTTGAAGTTTCTTTTGGAAGATGTTAGAGACAGTGAAGACCTCTCCGTCTATCCCATAGTGGGCATGGGTGGACTTGGCAAAACAACACTTGCCAAGCAGGTCTTCAATGATAACAGGGTATGCAAACATTTTGACTTGACAATTTGGGTTTGTGTTTCTGATGATTTCAACACCAAGACAATACTACAATCCATCATAGAATGCATCACCGGACAAAATTTCAATCTCAATAGCTTAGAAGCAATGCGGAAAAAGGTTGAAGAAGTGTTGCATGGGATGAGGTATTTACTTGTTCTTGATGATGTGTGGAATCAAGACCCAGAGAAATGGGAGCAGTTGAAGGGAAAGTTGCAGTGCGCAAGGGCAGCAAAAGGAGCTACCATTTTGGTCACCACTCGACTCAAGGAAGTTGCTTCCACCATGCAGACGCATCCTGCTTACGATTTGAAAGAATTGTCAGGAGATGATAGTTGGTCATTGTTCAAACACCATGCGTTTGGACCAAACAGAGAAGAAACGGAAGAACTCGTGTCAATTGGCAAAGAGATAATGACAAAATGCGTTGGTTCACCGCTTGCAATCAAAACATTGGGAAGCCTATTACGTGATGAAAGTGACGTAAAACAATGGCAGAATGTAAAGGAAAGTGAGATTTGGGATATACGGGAGGAAAGTAGTTCTGCGACAGGTGAGGAAAATTCTATCATGCGTGCTTTGAAATTAAGCTATTTTAATTTGGAGTTGTCATTGCGGAGATGCTTTTCTTTTTGTGCAATTTTTCCCAAAGATTTTGAAATAGACAAGGAAGAACTTATTCATCTCTGGATGGCTAATGGATTTATTAAATGTGAAGGAAATGTAGAAGTGGAGGATGTTGGAAATAAAGTGTGGAAAAAATTATACAGTAGATCATTTTTTCAAGAAGCTAAGTATGATGAATTTGGTATGATCACAACTTTCAAGATCCATGATCTATTTCATGATCTTGCCCAGTCTATTATGGGTGAGGAATGTGTGGTTATTGTGAAAGGAAGATTGACTCCATTGCCAACTAGAGTTCACTATTCAAGCTTGTTCAATTCTGGTGTGTCTGATGATATGACTGCTTTCAAGCAAAGATTGACGACTGATTTGAAGAAGGTTGAATCCCTGCAGACTTTTCTTGATATTGGTGGTATTGGCCCGGTGCCATCAAATCATTGTCTCCGAGCATTGCAAACAAGCTCTTCATTGTTGTCCCCACTCAAGGATTTAACACTTTTGAGATACTTGAGTTTGAGATTTTGTAGTTGTTCGGAAGAAAGCTTAAATAGCTCAATTTGTCAGTTGCCAAAATTGCAAATACTGAAACTGTTTCATTGTCAAGAACTTCATGGGTTGCCTAAGGACTTGACACGATTACAGGATCTGAGGCATATTGTGATTGATGACATGGATACAATACAAGAGATGCCTCCGAATATTGGCAAGTTAAGGCATCTAAGAACACTAAGCATTTTCGTGGTGGGTTCAAAGCCAGGGTGTGGCTTAGCAGAGTTGCATAGCTTAAATCTAGGAGGCACGCTGAGCATCAGAGGCCTTGAAAACATCTCCGATGAATGGGATGCTAAACAAACAAATTTGATTGGTAAGAAGGAATTGAATATCCTGCACTTGTCATGGGATGGTAATGCTAATCCAAAAGGTAGTAATGTAAGTGTGGAGAGAGTACTGGAAGCCCTAGAACCACCTTCAACTCTGAAGAGTTTTGAAATGAATGGTTATCAGGGAAGGCATTTATCGAGTTGGATGAGAAATAATGCAGTTTTGAGAGACTTGGTGAAAGTTACACTCTCCGACTGTGACAACTGTGAGGAGCTTTCCCCACTTGGTAAACTACCACACTTGAAAAGGCTAAACGTGAGTGGAATGAAAAATGTGAAGTGGATAGATGGTGAGACGTATGACGGCGTGGAGGAGAAGGCATTTCCATCGTTGGAGGAACTGATTGTTGATAATTTACCAAATATGGAGAGGTTGTTGAGGGATGAAGGAGTAGAGATGCTCCCTCGTCTTTCCCAATTAAGAATTGAAGGTGTGTTGAACTTTAAAGTCCCACGTCTTCCTTGTGTTGAGGAACTTAGTGTTGAAAGGATTGGCGAAGCGGCTTCCTTCATGGAAGTTGTGGGGAATATGGCTTTTCTAAAGACCTTGAGCATTGAAATTATTAAAGGAGTGGTGGTATTACCCGACGAATTCAGGAGGTTGGGTGCACTACAGGAACTATACATTGCAGAATGGTATGATGTAGAGTATTTTCCAGAACACGTGCTGGAAGGTCTAACTTCTCTTCGAACTTTGTCCATTAATTACTGTAAGAAATTAAAATCCTTGTCCGAAGGTGTGCGACATTTGGCTCGTCTTGAGAGTTTGATGATCAGCGATTGTCCAGAGCTGGTGGCTCTACCAAGCAATATGAGTCAACTAACTGCCCTGCGGGAGGTTTCAATCAATTATTGCTGCACATTACCAGATGGCTTACAACGTGTCCCCTCCCTACGAGTTTTATATATATACGAATGCACGTGTACTTCATTGCCGGACTGGCTAGGAGACATGACTACTCTTGAACAATTAAGAATTGCATACTGTAAGGAGTTGAGGTCACTGCCGAGTAGCATTAAACGGCTCACCAACTTGTCTTATTTAAGCATATGCAGATGTCCTCATCTGAAGATGGAAACAGGAGAGGATTGGCAATACATAAAGCACATTCCAAAATTAGAACTATTGCCATGATCTGTTTACTTCTCTCCCTATTGTGTGAGTCTGTCCTTGAAAATTATGTAGCCTTTTTGCGCAATTGAATAATAAAACAACGTTCACTATTGTTTGTGCTCACATAAAGTCGTAAAAGAAATCATTTTTTTTATATGCAATTTCTGAGTGATATGGTAAGAATCTAGAAAATAAAGTATTTGAATTGATACATATGTGTTTTAAAATAATGAGAGCGGTTATTTTAATGTTAAAAATTTAATAATATATATAGAATCTTATAAACACATTTCATTATAAAAACACTTATCCTCTCTATAAATCCTTTTTTCTATACTTCTCACTTTTCTGTAAGATTTTTAACCCCTAAGTTATCTCTTTGATGATTAGGAAGTACCTAAGTGATCACAGTAGTGATATCTTCAATATCATTCAATCAGTTTTTCCTATAGAGTAAGTTAGTTATACTCCTTTTCCCTTTGATTTTCTGTTTAAGCCACATGCATGTAGCTATAACTCACGTGTCATCCAACCTCTTTTTCTAGTTCCTTGTCAATCAGTAGTCTTAAGAACCTACCCTGATCATCATTATATGGTCTATAGGTACCGCTAAAACTATTTGAGTTGAAGCAGGGGTTTTTGGGCCATTATAGTTGCTTAAGCTTTCCACCAGATAAGGAAGCTAATGTTTTCTTTAATTTTGTGTTAAGATGTATATGAATTTGTGTTTGAGATGTTATCAGAAATCATGTTTGGTTGAATCTGCTATAATTAAGATGATTGTGAGTGATACTTATATATTGATGTATTGTTTTGGTCTATTTTTGGGGTTTTAAAAGTGAGAATCAAAAGGAGAAGGTTTGTGATGAAAGAAGGTTAGGGTTTGTTTTTTAGTCAATTGAGACGTGTTTAGACCCTTAGTTTACAAATTTCTAGTTTATAATGTGTAGAATTTGGTTATAGGTGTTTTTGAGTGGTTAAGTGATCTAGTACATCTTGTTTATGATCAAATTAGCAAAGTGGTCTTCAATTTCATCGATAAACATGTTTTTTCATCAATCTTAGTGTTAAGGAAGTCAATTTGGCCATTTTGGATAGGTTCAAGGTGCATTTAAATCAGTACAATGAGTAGGTGTTTTTGAATGGTTGAGTGATCTAGTGCATTTTGTTTATGGTCAAATGAGAAAAATGGTCTTCAATTTCATTCATAAACATGTTTTTGCATCAATCTTAGTGTCAAGGAAGTCAATTTGGTCATTTAGATAGGTTCAAGGTGCATCTAAATCAGTACAACATGTTGTTGTCATCTTGTATGGCATTGAATGGTCCTATGTGACCCTCAGCGTTTCAAACCTAAGAGCCCCTAGGCTCCAGGACGCTGAGCGCCACAAAGGTAATGAGCTCTTTGACTTATGGGCGCTAAGCAGTTTATTTAAGCATTAAGCACTGAACGCCACTTACCTACTACAAGTCTAACGTTGAGCACCAGAGGTCTGGCATTGGGCACCCGATTAACAGTTTGGATTTTTTTTTCTTTCTTTCCTTTTATTTCTTATGAATGGAAGATATATTGATATTTTAAAGTTTGTTTGGTAATATATATTGAATATTATGAAGGTTTATGCATGAGACTATGTATGTATTAAAGTATAGTTTGAAAAGAGTTTCTAAGGTGAAATTCTTGATGGATGTTTCAAGTAGTGTATGTATTATTGTAGGAGCTCAGTCTTGAGGATTATCCTAACACTCTAATGATCATTCATTTTCAAGTAGAGAAGGGTGAGGCATGTAGTGAGAGTAGTAGATGATCCTAGTCTAAGGGCTTTACCTTGGCCTATAAAGCGTTATTTAACGGACTAACCTTGTGTGGTAGCTCGTGAGTCAATTATTCCCACCACTACAAGTGCACATCCCGTCATATCTCAACAATAACACATGTATCGAGATGTTTTAGTCTAGATGTCTGATATGTTTAGGTGTTGTGTTTAATTTAAAATGAAAGTATTATATGCTCATTTGTGAATTCTATGCTGTATTATTTTTAGAGCTTTCAAAATGAGTAACCCGGCTTGACTCGGTCCGGCCCACCACGGGTTGGTTACTTAATGAATCAACTCGGCTCATTTATTAGCAAGCTAAAAAAATTCGAACCCGGCTCGACCCACCACGGGTTGGTGGGTTAAACGGGTTGGCTCATTAGCTCGCTTAATTATAAGTTCTTTTTAAAATAAAAAAATGTTATAATTTTTTTTAATTCAAATCTAAATAAATTTCACTAAAATGATGTTAAATTCCAAAAACAATTCAAAATTAAAAAAATATATATCATAGAATCCAAGCGTAATCCAAAAACAAGTAGAAAAGGTGAACAAATAAGTTTTTGATATTGATAATTTTTGTATCACTTGTCCATTTATAATATTAGAGTCTTGAATAGTGATGAACAAATTTTTGATCCCAGAAAACGAAGTCAAAAACTTGTTAATTCATCGACAAGTGTAACCGAATCGTATCAAGTAATAAAACTGGTAAGACCAAGTATCGTTTCCCAAGAGACTCACGACACTAAACAGTTATGTGATTACTCAACTAATTAAGACTCTAAAGAATATATTTTGGGGCTTTTGAATGCAAATGCAATAAAATAAACATCAATGCAATTTTGATCAATTGAGGTTAAACACAAGAATGAATGGATGAAGTTGATGATATTGTTGTTGGGTTTATATTTCACCTAATTTACTCTCATGCATATATGAATTCATCTTTCTTCATTAATGTTAATGTCACATTTTAATTTACCTTAAACTCGATGTCTCGGCGAAGAAAGCCTAATCATAATCACTAGTTTACAATATCTTGTCTCCCTAACAATTATTCATGCATTATAAAGCACAGAAGCTTAAAGGCAACCAACCATCATACTCTTATGTCTAGGTTTATACTACTATTGGGAGAATTCCCCAGATCGTGATTTGTAAGATATCTCTCAATAACAATCCTAGGGAGAGAAGAGGAGAGCTATCACATCCCCAAATCGTCCAACCCTAGGAGTACGAAATCTCCTGATACTTACAAATCATAAGATTTATGCCATACATGAATAAAACAACACAAGCATTTGAGCAAAGAAGAATATTTCTAACAATTAATGAAAGAAAGCATGTATCTTTAAAAGATCTTGAAGAACAAATTCAATACATGAGAGTTTAAGAGGTTACATCTTTCCCAACAACAATAAGGGTTAGCCCTCCATCGTCATGGAGAAACTAGATGAACAATGGAATGAAAGAATGGAAGAGAGAAAAACCCTAGAAAGAGAAGAGGAGAGTCGTCACCATCTCCAAATCTACCCTAGACGATCCAAAAATGGACGCGGGTTTAAAAAAGAGATTTGGAGTCGCCATCATAGTTTATTCTGGAAAACTACGGAAAAACCATAAAATGATAAGGCATGGTCTACGAAAATGAGATTCTAAGTTCGGGTGTCGGTTACATGTAGGGAAGGTATTAGCACCCTACAACGCCTGCCCTAAGGCAGTACATTTAACTAAATACGCGAATATGATGTGGTTTTCAAAATGTTTAACTATCCCCTAAAATAAAACTCTAAAGAGACAAAATATATTTTTTAGTTTTTTGGGCCCGACAAGGATTGACCTCACTCCTACGTATTCTCATTCAGAATGAGAAATCAGGGTTATGTAGTTCTTTTAGAAACTGCTTGAAAATTTTGTTTGAGGAAATGTTTGAGAAATTTGTTTGAGAAATTGATTATGGATAAATTTGGATTTTTGGGGAAGTGAACTTGACAAGGACTAGCCTTGCTCCTACGTATCTCCACTTTTGATGGAGAATCAAGGATCACGTAGTTCTGGCACAGGTTGATTGAATGAGAAATATATATTTTTAGTTTTTTTAAAATATTTTATATTTTTGTTGGTATTTTGATGTGATATTTAGATTTTTGCGTAATGAGCACTAGGCTGATGCGTACGATCGCAAGAGCACTCATACGGATTTTTTTTCTTATTTTTTTATATTTTTGCGTAATGAGCACTAGGCTGATGCGTACGATCACACGAGTACTCATACGCCTTTTTTTTGTTTATTTTATATTTTGGGTAATGAGTACTAGGCTGATGCATACGATCGCACGAGTACTCATACCGATATTTATATCATTACATGTTTTTTAAAGTTTTATATTTTTTTATTTTCTTTTTATTAAGAAAGAGAGGTGAGTTGAAATATCTAGGACATAAAAATGTGTACCTTGTTGAAGATTTGAATGATGAAGCAAGACTTTGCTTGTAATAAGTTGTGAGAAGAGATAGATTGATGGTGAAGAAGATGAATTTATAGTAGAAATGTGGTATGGGATTTACTATGTATAGAGGGATTAGGAAATAGTAAAATGTGAGAGAAAAATGAAGTAGAGTTTTGGGATGGAATGAAGAGGTTTTGAGAGAGAAGAGATGGATATTATGTAATTTTTTGTGTGTAAAAATGGAGTGAAGAGAATGTGGGTATTTATAGAGATATGGATGGAGAAAGTTGATGAAGAAAAGTAATATAATAAGTGGGTGGAAAAATGAAATATAATAAAAAAAAGTAAATAGTAAAAGTTGGTGTGGAAAATAAGTGAAAGAAATAATATAAAAAGTGGGTGGAGAAATGAGGTAAAGAAAGTAGATGGAGAAAATAATAAAATATGTTAGTGGAGAAGGTGGTAAATAAAATATAATTTAGAATAGTGATGGAACAAATAAAAGTTAGTAAGAGAAATTAATATAAAAGTGGGGTGGAAAGGTAGATGGAGAAAAATGGATGAAATAAATAATAAAATAAGTTGGTGGAGAAGGTAGTGGATAAAATATAATTTAGAAAAGTAGATGGAATAAATAAAAGTTAGTAAGAGAAATTAATATAAAAGTGGGGTGGAAAAGTAGATGGAGAAAAATGGATGAAAGAAATAATAAAATAAGTTGGTGGAGAAGGTGGTGGATAAAATATAATTTAGAAAAGTAGATGGAATAAATAAAAGTTAGTAAGAGAAATTAATATAAAAGTGGGGTGGAAAACTAGATGGAGAAAAATGGATGAAAGAAATAATAAAATAAGTTGGTGGAGAAGGTGGTGGATAAAATATA